TAGTCTCGAGGCCGTTTATCCAGGTGGAAGTAGCCATCATGAAAGGACCAGCCTTGAGGTAGTCCGTGGGCTTGCAAATCAGTGACCTGGAAGGCATGATTCAGCAATGCATGCTCAGGGGCTCGATCGGCCGTTGAGAGGTCGGGATCGGCACTGGCTGCAGGGGGGCGGCTCTTCCGTGCTGACTGTTTCTGCCGATGGTGTAGGTAGTTCATATGGTTGTGCAGGTGGTGGCCGTAGGCTTCGGAGTGGTCCAAAGCTGAGCGTCTCTTGTCGGTTGAATCTGGCACGACGCTGGCTGAATGTCTCTGCATCAACCGTCTCATACAAGGAGGCAGTGGTGGGGTCCAAGACAGGTCTTGGATTTGGAGCCGGGGGCGGTGGTGCCTCTGCTGGTGGATGTGGTGTCTCACGTCCGGAGGGAATCATCGGTTCTTCACTGGGTTCAGCCACTGTTGGGGCTCTGGATCTGGACCTGGTGGTCACTGGTGATGTAGGCATCTCCAAAGGAGGTGGAGGTTGTGCTGCCGGTGGTCCTGCCATGGTTGATGGAGGTGCTCTGGGGCTTGTTGGTGCAAAGCTCGAGTGTGCCGGTGAAGTCGGCTCGTACTCGTTGGCATCCAATTCTGCCACAGGATCCGAGGTTGTTGGAGCCTCGGGAACTTCCAGGCGAAGTCGATGACGAGGTGGTTCTTCAGATTCATCATGCAGTGGTCCGTCAGGATCATCATACTGCTCATCTTCTTCGACATCTTCAAGTTGTTGTCGGTTGACACGCCGGAGGTCGTAGTATCGAGTGACACCACGAGACTTGAGTTGACGCACCATGTTGAGCGATGCTTGCAAGTCGTCCAGCACGTGCTGTGGTCCAAGGATGTCGCCACGGACATGGTGAGGTGCTGCTCTGATGAGTTGGCTCTTGTAGGCAAGCCAGTAGGTGTTGACCTTGGTGGCTTCAGTAGGTGCATCGGGGTCTTCTTCACGTAGCACCACATGAGCGGGTCCCAGCCAACGAATCTTGTTGAGTGCGCTCTGTCGGGCGTCTCTCCAGAACCAGACACGTTCACCAAGCCGGAAGATGCGGCTTTGACCTTGGTATTTCCTGCTCAAGGCTCTCCGAAGTTTGGAGTCAGCATCGGCGCTTGTGAGTGCCATACGTGCAGAGGTGCGACGTTCCAAGTTCTGCTCGAACGTGATGTTGTTTCCGGCCAGCTGTGCAGCGTTGAGGTTGGAGTCCAGAAGGTGGCTCAACTCAGGTTGATAACCCAACACCCATTGGCTCGGAGTGAATCCAGCAACTGAAGGAGTGGCATTCTGTTGCGGAATGACATAAGTCAGGGCTTCTTTCACTCCATGGGCGTCAGTCAGCTTGCGGTCTGAGAGGTAAACCTCGCAAGCACGTCGAAGAACAGCGTGGCGACGCTCAACCAGGGCGAGTCTTTCGTGAGCCTCTCCAGGGGCGACTTGATGATCAATGCCAACAGCACTGGTCCAAGTTTCAAAGGTGCCACCGAGCCATGGTCTTCCTTCATCAGTGACCAAGACACGAGGAGGTCCAAAGTGGCGTAGCCAGACCTTTTCCAGGGCCTTCGAGTAAGACTCAGAGGTTTCCTCCAACACCAGGCTAGCAGCCATGAACTTGGTGCCAACATCAACGATGCTGAGGATGGAGAACTTCCGATCACCTGGTTTCAGGTAGAAGACGTCGGCCTGGATGGTGTCGTTGAAGCTCTTCGGCTGTGGCATGGACGATGGAGCCACTTGGTTCGGCTTCTTGTGCTTCAAGCAGGCGACACACTTGTACTCCTTGGCGGCGGAAACAACAGATGCATGAGCGCCTCTTGCCAAGAGCAGGTCAGCTAGGGCCTCAGGTGACGGATGGCCCAAGTTCCGATGCAAGCGTTGTACAACACGTAAAGCATCTTGATGGTGTTCAGCTTGAAGCCTGAGCAAATGACCAGTTGCCTTCTTCTCGGAACCATCAACTGCATAGGCGGTGTCCCAAAGTTGGCCTGGTTCAGGCTGAGCGAGTGCTGCGGCCAGTGTAGCTGCAAAGCCAGGTTGGTAGTCCTCAAGGTAGGTCGTTCGAGGGCCAAGACCAGGAGCTGCTCCTTCGAGGGGACAATGTTGGTGATCATGAGTGCAGCGAAGTTGCAGAGCTTCCAGGACTGCCTTCTTGGTGGTCCTCAGTCGAGTGCTCTTTTGGACAGGTCGCCATCGGCCATCAGTGTCCAGGCACATAGCACCATAGCGGCATTGGTCGAAGTCGGCGTTGTAGCCAGGTAGAGCCTTCAAGGCTTGAGTGTTCCAGCTGAGAGCATGCCGTGGTTGCTCCAGGTGAGCGTGTCGACCATTTGCTGCCTGCCGGAGGAAGATGCGCTTGGCAAAGCAGAGGTGTCGACGATGATGATGTTCTCTTCGAGCGACCAAGGCTTCTTGTTGAGCCGTCGTTCTGCATGCCAAAGTCTGCATGCGGGACCAAACTTTGCACTCAGGTGCGAGAAGGACTTCATCAGGCTCCTCCTCGTCCAATCGCTGTAGGAACTGTTGCTGGTGGCTCTTGAGGTTGAAGTCCCAACCAGTTTCCAGGGAGAAGCGCTCGACCTTCATGCCAAGTTCTTCAGCGACCTGGCCCGTGCGGGCCTTGCCACAGTACACTTCCCACAACACCCTTCTGTGTTCAGGAGGCTGGTGAAGCTCATTGGTGATGTAGGCTTCAGTGGAGTTCATCATGGTGGTCAGCTGTACCTCCATGGTGCGAAGGGCATGTCGATGAAGTCGGGCTGAGGTGAAGTTGTTGTCCGAAGGCACTTGCTCATCGGCAGCGAAGACTTGTTCCAGGTTGTTAAAGTCTTCCAGATGCAGGTGGCTGCCAGGAACTTCTTCTGCGATGTGCAGGGTGAACAAGCTCTTCGTAGGATCCGGCACATGCTCCATTCCAGCTGTAAGGCTGAGTAGGTATTCACCATGCTTGCCAACCAAGACCGGTTGCCAAGGAGAGCGGCCGAATCGGATTTGCTTCTGGCTGAAATCAATGCCCATGTGGAGCGCCTCAATGACAGGTCGTCCCATCAACATTGGAGTGTTTCCGGGCACCAGGTAGCATTGGATCGTGCCATAGTTGCCATCCAACATCACCGGAAGATCCACGGTCCAGCGAGCTTGAGATGAAGCGTCTCCGCCAAAGTGGAACTGTCGTTCGCATCGAGCGAACCGGATCGTGTTGACCGGGTAGTTCATGGAGTTGAGGTGGTCAACATATCGCTTGAAAGGACCGTATCCGCTGAGAAAGGCTGAGGCACCAGGATCCAGCATCGTGGCATCAGGACGTTCATCACCGAACTCGTCCTGGAAGAGCACGAGGGCATGCTCGGTCTGGACGGCCATTCCTTCTGTTGGACCAGGAGCAGGACGTTTGGTAGCCGTCGAACTTGATCGAGCCGACTGCGGGCATTGTGCAGCCCAGTGACCAGGTTGGCCACATCTGAGGCAGGTCGTTGCTTGTGCTCGGCCACGAGGATCAGCTGCCTTGCCACCAGTGTTGGGTGGATAGCGGATGACATTCTTGCCCTTGCCCTTGTTCTTGCTCTTGGACTTCCCTTTTGAGGGACTGCGATCCTTGCCTTTGTTCGAGGGGCTGGACGCCATAGGAGAGGATTGACCATCAGTGAGGGCGACCACTGGAAGGTATCCGCGAGCCAGTTTGAGCTGCTGGAATCGTTGCCTTGCATCAAGGTAGGTCGCATAGGCATGATCGTACTGTTCGGCAAGCTCATAGGGATCCTCAGTCGATTCGCCATGGTCTTCTGTTGGCTCTTCCTCACCATAGTAGATGGCGTCATAGTCAAAGGATTCGTCCTCGTCAGGGTTGTAGTCGTCAGGTCCCCATTCATCGGCCTCATAGTAGACACTCTCATCGGGCCAGGCAGTGTCGGATGGCCAGGCATACTCATCATCCTCATAGGCTGCATAGCCTCTACCTTTCCAGCGGGCGAACTTTCGATCTCTGTCGTTGTTCCAACCACCCGCTTTATAGTCTTGACCGAAGAGGAGGTAGAGTGCATCGATGACGGCCTGCTTTTCCAGCGTTGGAGCTTTCAAAGTCACCATTTGGCGTTGCTCCTTAGTCAGGGCGGCACGCCGGAGAAGATGCCATCCTTGGACTTGGCCGGGTAGTGAAACATTGTGTGCCATCAGCTTCCGATAGGAGGTGTCAAACTCCGTGACGTAGGTCAGGAGACTCTGCTGGGGCTTCCTCTGAATGAGGTTGAAGAACTCCTCAAAGTCGTTGGGGAGAAGGACGCGGTCGTCATATTCAAAGTTCTTGTCCAGCTTTTCGAGTATTTTGCTGAAGGCGTCACTCTTCTCCACATCCTCAACGGGATAATCCTCGAAGAGTTTCCAGGTCACGCCGCTGAAGCTTCCGAGGATGTTCAGCACAGACTCACCAGCTCGTTTGCTGATGACCATCTTCTTGTGATAGAGGTTGAGGCGTTTCCTGTACTCTTTGTACTCTGAGGGCTGGTTCGAGAACAAGGGGACGTAGGAGTCGCGCAGGTTCTGTGTCTCTACTTCTTTCGTCCCGGCGGACGCTGCTGCCATTGTCACTTCCGTAGGTCTTCAGCAGGAGGTGGAGCCTAAGCCGAAAGGTCTCTTCCACGAGGCGCCAGAAGAGCTCGGCAGAGTGAAGGTGACAAAGGTCTTAAGCAGGGCCTCGTTCAAGTAGACACAAAGTTCGCGGGAGCCCCGGAATGGGGCTCCGCTACCAATGTGAACTTGTCGTGCACGGCGAACGAAGTCCGTGTCGAAAAAGAAAGCACGAGGATCGACGATCCTCACGGCCGCGCCTTTTCAGCGCGCATGAACCCTCCCATGCTTGAGAGGTGAGTTGCGGGTGACATGAAACAGGTTCATCTTCAAGAACCTAAGTGTACAGCGTACACTTCACATGTCCCATTTTCTACGGGTCCTGTCCCATTTTCTGTACGGCCGGGTATGACTGTCCCCATGTTTCTTATCATACTTTCACAGGTTGAGATCCAGGAAGTTGTGTGCCGTGGCAGCGGGTTGCTGTGCTGAAACTTGCTGTTCGGGGTCGTTCGGTGAGAGCGAAGGAGGTTTCAGAAGCCGATAGCACTTGAGCTGTTTCTTTGCGAGCTTGCGAAACGAGCGAACGAATGCAGTGCAGTCGACTCAGTCGACCTGGAACTACCTCAGAGTCTCTCCAGTCGTAGCTGCGTAGCTGTTTGGGTCATGGTTACGGACGAAGTCGGTCGAAGTCAGGTCGTCAGGTCCAGTAGCTTTGTTTAGGGGCTTTGATGGGCTTGGTCGGCGTGGCAGCTGGACTTTTGGGAAGAAATTGGAAGAGGACTGTGGGCACTCAACAGGAACAAAGGTTCTGTGGATGAGCCTTTGTAACGTTCAATCACATACGCCTCAGTGGTTAATCAAGTCTTTTGGCTTTCGCATGCTTTCGCCAGCTGGTCAGAATCCAGCTCGTCAGGTGAAGTTTCCTGGTTTTGCCGAAGGGGATTGTTAGTTCTCCCTGTGGGTAAGTCCCCTTCTGGGGAATGTGTTTGTTATTGTTTGTTTGTTATGTTTGTTGTGTGTTTACCTTTTTCCAGGCTCCTTATGTGGGTTTGGTGAGGCTTTTGCGGTTGCGGAATCTCTACAACATCGAACGCAAGAAGAACTTGACTCCAACTTCTGTGCGACGTGCCATTTTGTCGGGCCATTGCTCTGGGTCGCTCAGGTTTCGGCTGCGCACCAAGCAGCTCCAGGCTAGATTCGGGATGTCAGTTGCCCCGCGCATGCCGTCGTGATCCTTCTTGTCGTTTGAGCTATAGGTTGTACCCTAGAATATGGGACATGGCCGTATAAAAATAGGTACATAATATTGGTACAAAAGGATACATATAAGGTACATATAGATTATACTATATACTAGACTTCTACCATATTTCTACCCAATTTTCTGAGATACTTTAAGACTCTAGTGTTGAAAGTATTTTATGTTCTGCTTTTGAGTGTGTGAGTTTGGTACCCTCACAACTCATGCCCTTTCTTGTGGAAGCCTACAAACCATGTTGATGCCTTCAGAGAGAGGTGTTTTTGGCATCCCAGGAAACCACACCGCACCAAGCAGCTCAAACACCAGCATGCCACGACTCCGCCAAGCACCGAGAGTTCCACGGCTTGCAAACAACACACCGCAAGGGGGCACTCTGGAATCTCAAGGACGTCCCTCAGAAAATGGGGTACAGTCGTATCTTTCTTTTTGTTTGGGTCATATCCCATGTTCTAAGGATTCTAAGGTACCTTGGAGATCCTTCAAAGGTCTAGGATTACTATCTCCCTCTTCAGAGAGTTTTGAGGTGATTGCAACACTGAACACATCCACCTCCCCGTCGATCAGAGAGTCCGAGAATCCCCAGAATCCTGAGACTTGTCCAAGTCGGAGTTTTTTATGCCAATCCCTAGCCAAATTCAAGTGTAGGCCATATTTGATTTGCATACTATGGAGCGTTTGGGTAGAGGATCCACATACCTTCTCAGGTTCGGTAAGACTGGGTATCCATCACCTTCTCAGAGGGTGGTTGACCAGTCTGGCTACATGTCTCAGAGGGCCAGGTACACTCACGACTGGCCCTTTAAGAAAGTGGACAACTATGGACAACTCATTGTTTCCAGGAAAAGAGGAAGACAGTCTTTTGAAGGAGCCAGGACGTCCACTTTGCCCAGGGATTATTGGAGGGCAGGGTAGCCCCCTGACTTGAGGCTTCTTAAGTCCTTCAGAAGAGTTCGTCCCCTGGTTGTAAATGGATATGGGAGGATATGGGTCAATGATGGTGAAGCCTCAGCTCCCAAACATGTATGGTATTTGCTCCTGGCCAAGCCCGAGGCGCTTTTCCATCAGTTTCTAACTTGTGAAATCGTCATCCACTGTTCCCTGTTCCCTGGACAGTTGTGTGTACTTCCCAGACCCAACCCTGGACACTCATATATGAAGGGATCAGACCCTCACATGGAGATCAAGGGCTGTTTGGAGCCTCTGGGAAGCCAAGCCGCTTGGGTCTAGCCATCTGGTGTTGGTCGCTTTGCGAGGAAACGCCTTCTCGCAATTCCTGTGATCACCCACTGAAAAGACCCTGGACCCTTTCAGATCCAACAAGTAATCAGCTGTTTTTTTTTACCTAGACCTTCCAAAGTACCCTAGAAAAATGGGACGTGACCGTACTACAGAAACAGGTATATACTGGTACCCATTTTCCGAGGTACTTGAGACTCCAGGTATGTCAAAATGCATTTTAAGGATATGTGATCAAAGGATATAGCTATACACTTCGGAGGGAACTGAAAGGTACTGGAAGTGTAGGGAACACATGGTCCCAAGAAAGTAACACACAAAACATTTTCCTTGAAGCTGGAAGCTCGTGAGCGGCCCATCTACTTCGTCTAGACGACCACATCGCGTCCCGCCTTTTGTGCTTTCGTCCTCTTTCGTCCATGTGGGGCCCTGTGTCAGCCGTGCTTCGGCCGTTGGGGACACTGCAAACCTGAAAATCTGCGTAACCAGACGCCCATCCAACTTCGAATCCCCAAACTCTGGGCCACAGGAAGACTTGCTGCGGAGAACGCGTTCGCGTGAGAACGCGAGAACGCGTCGTATCGCGCGTCTTCTTCTCGTCAACGCGCGTATGGCGCCTGATGTCGGCAGGTGATCCAGAAGCCGCGGCCTGAGCAGCCTGAGGGCGGAATGGGAAGCGTTCGAACTCGGGCCCGGCTTCACCTGGAGTCTTGGAGTCGACTTGGTGGAAAAGGGTATGTAGACGGTGTGGACTCTTGATTCATTGGACCCCACCCATATTATATATATTATATGTTCTTTTTTTAATAGTCCAAATGGGGTGGGTGGAATATCATCAAGAGTCTACTAGATTTACTGGATACATTTCATTTTGTTAAGAATATGGGGTAATGTTCCTGATCTTTCTGTGCGCCTGGAGGGTCCAGGCAGATATAAGAAACCAGGTTCCCTTGGTTGGTCGACTTCTGCTTTAGGATGGTGAGAACGAAACTGGGTCCCATGTGACATGCCTATTTGTCCTTTCGCAACATGGGGAGTGGAAGACCTTTTGCAACTGAAAGTTGTTTTCCAAGCAAAAGGTCTTCCACATTGACAACCTCGATTGGATAGAGGGTCGTTTTCGGGGTAAGTTGGTGCCGTCCAATCTCGGGAGTACAGCAAGTGCTTGACCAAAACAGCACGAAGCAGATTCAGTGGGGGGGAGGTGAGTCCTTGACCTTGAACCCAAAATTGCTTGAAGGCGGATGCCTGGGGAGGGCTGGATCAGATTGGGGAAGGGCATAAGCATGGAGAGCTTGGTGGTAGTGGTAGTGAACTGCATCCCGAAACTTGAAGGGTCTTGAAAAGATCTCCACTTGAGGCCACTTCACAGCTGACCTGTCGAGTGCCGGAAGACGATCTCACTTCCATCTCTTGTTCCCCAAGCCATCTGAGAGAAGAGGTTCGGGCAGAATCCTGATCCCTGAAAACCCGATCCTGTATCCTCCATGTTCCCTGCATGGAACTGGATTGGGCGGAGATAGGTGTGATGGAGATGGTGTGAGACCACCCAGACGAGGTGGAGCCCTTGGGATTGGAGTCCAACGTATAGGACCCTCCAGTCCGGCTATCCGTGGGGGGATAGGAATCAGACTTAGACTACCTGGAGGTCTCAGATGTTCGCACCAACAAGAAAATGAGTATGACACGCATGACAGGGTCATGTACCATTTTCTAGGGCACTAATGAAGTCGGGTCCACGTACGAAGTCGGGTCCCATTCCAAACGGGATGCCGTTGACGGGGCAAGTTTTGCTTCGGGTGAACTCTTTTGACTTGGCAAGGTCCAACGACATCGTGGCCAAGACCATCTCGGGCATCCTCCCCATGCGAGAGGACTCCAACGTTGGGATGACAGTTGTTTTTTCCTTTATTCATTCCTGTAAGTCGAAGCCTGGTTTTGTTTATATATATAATATTTGTTTTTCTTTATCATGTGTCTTTTAATACTGAGACGGCCTGGCTGGGTAGATGGTAGACTGGTCTATTTCACTTCCAGGTCGAACTGGGAGGACTCCCAATTTGAGCTACACACCGCCCATATACAGGCTATTACTAAAAATAGTATGCCCTTGCAGGTGCGCGTACCTGGAGTCAACCCGTTCGTACCTTGGACAATGGGTCATCTTTTGATGGGGTCATGTGGTCATGTCCCAGATTGATCCTGGCAGCTGGCGGCTCTGTTGAGCTTCGTCGCGCTGTGTTTCTTGAGGACTCCGGGATCTCCAGTGGCTCTCCAGCGATCTTCGCCCATGCGCAGATGGGCATCCCAAGAGGTTGGGGTTGTTTTCAGGCATTCTAGGTGCTGACCTTGGATGCACCTGGAACCTCCAGTTGGCACCCTGCACATGGGCCCATAGCCTTCCCAGACCGTTTAAACAAATTGTTGACATGGTTTCGTAGTACAAACCTTCAGCTTATCAACTCACTTGCGGGCCGAGAGTCCCCGAACAAAGAGAAACAAAAAACACCAAACATGGCCATTGCCGACGGCCGACGGTTCTGGAACGAACTCAGAAGGTCCAGGTCCCTGGAGTCCGGAATCGGTCGACGGCTCAGGAAGCCGTTCCAGGGACCCAGACGTGTCCGGAGGGATTCGCCTCTCTGGGTGCCGAGGCCGGTGTTCCAGAGCGACGCGGAAGTGGAGGCGGCATATCGAGGCGAGGGAGGTGAAGGTGGAAAGCCATGGGGGTTTTCCAATCATCGAAATGGTAGAGTCTCAAAGTCAAGAAGAGGTATACCTGATTTGTTTGTTTGGGTCATGTGCCATCATGTGCCCTTTCTAGGGTAACGTTGGCGGGTCCAGGCTACAGATCATGATCGATCACGGCATAGATTTATGCCCTATGGATCCGCATACCCTTGGAGAAGGTGATGTGTTTAACCTTTTTAGGTGGGTTTGGAGGGTCCAGGCGTATTGTTTTCTGAGAAGTTCCACTGCTCAACATGAGCTGTGGCTTGGACAGATTCGCAAGTCAGGCTATTTATTTGAGAAGGTATGTGGATTCTAAAAGGGTGGCTTGCTAGATGTTATGTCTTTTTCTGAGCTTAAGGTTAAAGCGACCTCAGAGTGAACTGGGGTGGTTTCAGGGGTCAAGGTAGGAACATTTTCCATGTGTTGGAGAGAGAAGAGAGAGAGAGAGAGAGGGGGGGGGAGAGAGGGAGAGGGAGATAGATGGCTTCCAGGAAGTGTATTTTTGGGGGAAGTGGCGACAGGGAACGGTGATTGAAGTTGTGTGAGTGAGTGCCTGGCTTCCACTTGCTATCTCCGATATTCCCAGAAATCAGCTACTGTAGTCTTGCTCAGTTTGTACCTCTGAAAAATGGGTACAGTCATATCATGTCATACCCATGTTGTAAACATCGGGTCTGGCGCCATGTGTGTAAAACTGTGAAACGATGAAACTTCATTTCGTCCGGAACTTCATTCATCATTGGGATCCTCAGCTTCTTGAAAAAACAAAAACGATCAAAAACGACTATTGGGGTGCAGTTCCCGTCACCTTTTGACCTGGATCCAATGTCTGAGTCATACCCTATATATAGAAAATGGGACCCTCTAAAACAAGACAAACACGGTACCACTGGCGCCCCATGGACTCTGAGTCCAGGGTAGATAGCTGAGTCCAGGGTCGTATCCCGTTTGGATTCCATGTTCAGTTCGTCAGTCATCGGATTCATGTTCGACACCACACCATTTGAACAAGAGAACATGTTGCAACAACAAGTGCACCCACCAGGCGACCCAACACGCCCAATTCCGCCCCCAACACTGGACCCCTCGCTCCCGACCCGGACGTGCGACGCACGGTCGTGCCGCACGCCCCGCGCGCCGGATCGTGCCCCACGCGCCCCAGACGCCTTCGGACCGGTCGGGGAGCGCCCAGAGTCGGATGTGGAGTTGACAGTCACTGCCGTTGAGTGACCGAGAAAAAAACATGTGTGGAGGACGGAACAACGTCGCGGCGGAGTTGTTTTTGACGTCTCGGGCGTTCGGATCGAAAGGTTCGCTTGGAGTTGGGTTGATAAGGGTGTTTTAGCCAAAGTACATATATATATATATATACTGTATATAAGGTTGGTGGAAGAAATGCGATCGTCTCCTGCTCTTAGTGTCTCTGGCGCCACTACATGAAGTTGGGTTGTTTTGTCAGACCAAGAGCATGCTACTGCTATGTTTGTCCTCCACTGTGGAGGTTACCTTACCTTAAGAATCCTTTGTATAAAGTGAAGCAGGCTTCACATTTGGGAGGATGGTTTCTTCATATTTTTCCGCATACCACTGCTGGTGGGCTGGTGGGCACTCCCCACTTTCAGCCGCGAGTTCGACACCGGACATTGTAGCGGGGTTCCAGTGGGATATAGGCTGAATTAGAAGCTGAGCATTGAGATTTTTCACGGCATCTAAGTCAAGAAAAACATCCAGTGACGTGGAACATCTCGATGCTAGCCAGTGGTACGCATTTGAGGGTACGTCAGTGCCAGTGTTTGACCACTTGGGGAATTGCGAGGACAGCCAAGGGTGTGGGTAGTGACTCCAACACCCATGCACCAACCACAATAGGTACCATGATAGGTACACCAACCACGCTTGGTATTGTATTCCAATATATTCCAATATCCCATCATATCCCATCTACTATCTACCTGCTCCTCTCCTGTTTTTGGTTCCGTTTTTATCATGTTTTGCTTGCAGACCAGTTCATGGGATTCAGTTCATCAACAATACCAAATCCGGACCCTCCTGGCCCGGAGACCAACTCTCACGGTGGTGAACCTGGGCACTGGACTTGTCACCAGGAAGCACCTGTAGAGTCGGGTGCTGGCTCCCGTGTCCTCACAGGCGACTGCGCCTGGACAGGAGACCGACTACGAGAGTGCCGAGGAGAGCGACGGGCCGTACGTGCCGTGCCGACCACACAGCCAGCAACAAAGGATGGTGAACATCATGTCATTTGAGCCGATGGATTCATCGTCGATTTTGCAGCTTTTGTGTGATATTGGCCGAGTTTGGGCGGTTCTCCATGAAAACACGTAATGTGTAAGTGAATGCAACAAGCTGGCAAGGGTAAAACACAAAGAATGCACATAATTTGTCATGTCTATCATGCAGAAACATGCATTTCGACCTTGAACCATTTGTTTATTTTTAGTAGGCCATCCCTGGTCTATGCAAGAGGATGAAAGAGAGCAGACGTCCCTACTTACTATGGAAACAAAAAAGAATACATGTCCTCCCTTGCGGTGGTTCTTTCGAGGTGCCAACGGTGCGCTGCACAGAAGCCCTCGAGAAGCCAGTCCCTAGTCCCGAGTCCCTGGAACTCCTGGCGGTCTACAAACGGAGTGGCATGATGCCATGAAAAGAAATCCTCAAAACATGGGAACCCATTGGGGTCTACCTAGAAAGGGACCATTCCCATGAAGGTCAAGGCTCAGCAACAATGATGGATACCTGATCTTCTCCACATGGGAGTCCTGTCAGCCAGGAGTTTCCTGGCTGGGGCAACCGTCCAGGGGCCAAGGCAACGGGGATGTGAGTAGTAGAAGGGGTAGGGAAACGCATACCTGAGGTCTCAGTTCGTACCTTGGAAAAGGAGTACAGCCGTACCTGTTTTATAGGGTCATGTCACAATGTCTCATTTTCCAGGGTACTTGAAGTCGAGTCCAGGTAACATCGACCGGTTTGGGTCGTTGTTTCTATTTTTGTGTCAGTACTTGGGATTGTGACAGTCTTGGATGCTTTCAAGCACCTATACATATAGTATGAGATACAGTAGTCGAATGAAGGTTGATATTGTTTGTGTAGTGTAGATCGCAGGTTCGTGGGGTTGGGTGTCCAATCAACGAATCAACAGATCGCTTAGTATGGATGCTTGCACATAATTATTCTAATGGATTTCTTATATGATTTGTTTGACGTGTTGATCGGTTTTAGAGGTAGACCTTAGAGTAACCTCAAAGGCAGTGATGTGCACCGTACATGTTCTGCTATAGATTCGAGGATTGTGAGTGTTCTCCCTGTTTCCTCCCAAGCAAAGTCCACTGAGCTTTTGCAAGGCGGCGGAGGCTTTGGCATTGGCCAGCTACAACTGAGCAAGATGTTAATGTCTCTTTTCAAAGAAGAGGGCATAGAAAACGATTTAAGCGTGACAATACCATGGCAGGAGGTGAGCAAGTACCAAAACCATTTATGTTTGGAATAGTTACGTATACATTGGGGTCATAAATGGATATATATATATAATGTGTAAATATATATAATATATATATATATATGTACTGTAACTAGTGCATACATGGATGGGTTGTGTAGCTGCTGTAGCTGTTGTTTCTATGCCCGTGGGTTCGTCGAGGCGGTCATACATTTGAAGTTGGATTTGGGAAAGGCGTGATTGATTGAGCTGAACTCTCAGAGCTGCAGTTGACTGGCTTTGTGCCATGATGTTCTTACTAGTGGCAAGACCACGACTTTCGCCCATTTGCAGACCAAGCATTGCTTGACTTATGCCACGACTGTGCCTCCATTCAGGGTCAACATTTCAGTGAACATGCTGTTGGATGTCATGCGAGCAGATGAATACGTGCTGATGCCATTCCTGAATCAAATGGCAGGCCAAGAAAAGTAGGATCATGTCCTACTAGTGGCTTACGCCGACGCCGATGCTTACTCCGAAGCTGTCCCACGAGCAGCGAATGAAGACGTTCGCGGATTCATGGTCTAGTGAAGGCATTGTACCTTGATGTGTCACGCGATGTGTGCCGTTTGCAACACATATTCTTTGTCACGCTCCTGGAGGGATGGATGATTTTATGGGAGGTCTCTGTTCTTTTTCACCAATCCCTATAGAGAAATACAGGGAGAACGGAGAGGCCATCGCCTCGACCGGCGAGTTCGCTTGGTTGTTGCGGCCCATTTTTGTTGGCCCTCCAGGAATAGTCACCTTCCATACATGGATGGTTTGGGTATGATCTTCTTGAAGAACAACGTCATTGGCGTTCAGCGGCGTCGGCTGGCACACATGCCCAGCCCGGTATGGAGGGCCACATGAACAAAGTTTCAGGCCAGCAGTGATGAAATACACCGCAGCTCGGTCACCTTGGCTGATCCTAAGCCCCTGGCAACCCACCCCAACCAAGGCGAAAATAGTTGGTTAGAACCCTAGTTGGCTCAGCACTCAGAATTTGTGTTGCGGCACTCTGTTTTGTAGAGACACCCCAATGCGATTATTTTCATTGAACGAATGCATTTGGGAATGGGTTTTGGGTAGTAGAGTGCCAGAAGTAAAGTCTGAGCGCCAACACGCGCAGGGGAAACAGCTGCTTACTGAGCAGCCATGTCGGCTTCAACACCGTTGCGCCATGCAGGCCACTCTGTTGGGAGGAGTGGTGCGAGGTGAAGTTTCCCGCAAGGGGCGTGAGCGAGCAACAGAGCAACCTGGTGAAGGCAAGGTTCCTGCATGTGCAGAGCGGCGCCTCTAAACTTTGGGCTTGTTCGAAGTGCTCTTGGCAGAACTCCATGAGAGGCTCGACCCGCCCATTGGAACACATGCGCTTTGGAGTTTGAAAGGGAAGTCATACATCGAGTTGCACAAGCTCAAGAAGGCGTCGGACATTACTCCACCCGACCGGGAATGGCTGGATGCCCTTTGTTGGGATGCTTTGGGTATTCCTGCAGCTGTACAGTGGGCCATCTTCAACCATTGGGTGCCAATTGATTACACGCCATGAACGACCAGAAGAGGGGGGTGCCCATCACTAATGGGGAGGCCACTGTGCCGCCATGAGTGCAGGCAATGGCAGGCCCTTTTGCAATCACGCCTCGGTGCTCCAAATGCGTTTTTCAATTTCAAAAACCGCACATGGGCTGGTTGCTCACCCTCCTATCTCCAAAATAATGCGCTTTGTGCAGACTTATGGGCCCAAGCTCGCCCTTCTATGTCCCAAACGCGTTGTGTCAACCTCAAAAAAAGCATTGGGGGCCCAAGCCATGGCCAGGTTGCAAGTGGAGTTTTCTGCCAATCCCTAGCAGCAATGCATCCCAAGAAAGGAAACAAATGCATCGGGGAATGCGGCGGAAGTCAAAACCACACAAACACAAACATTCAAGCGTTGCGAACCAGCGTGCTGGCACTCTTGCGCGTGCCGGGACGACTAATGGTTAGAACCCTAGAGTGACCCGGAAATGACCTGGACACTCCTGGAGCAACCCGGTGGGCGTCACCAATACCCAGAACATCCTAGAACTACCTGTGGAGTCGGGTCCGGTCGTAGTTACCAAAAGTAGCTACAGTACGCTGCTGTCGAGCCGTACCGGGTTTTATAGGTCCAATTTTTCTAGGCCACTTTGAATCATAAAGGACCCAGGTATGCTTCAGTGCGTGATTCCTGAGCCAAACCAAACATGGTCCAAAGGTGAGGAGCAACGAGTGTCGAGTTTCAATTCAGGGACCCTCTCCAGTCTGTAGCGAAGTGCGCCATGACCCTACAAAAACAAGTACTTCTATGCACTTTCTGCACTTGTACTCATTTTCCGAGGCACGACCTGGTCGACTCCAGGGATTTCAAGGTGATTCGATCAAATTCTGTTCCGGGTTTCTGGTGCAACTACCGATCGCTAGAGTGGTTGATCGCTAGACACCATGTGGGTGTACCAGTGGTCGCGGAAGTGCTTTGCCCAAACTTCGTTGGTTCGGGGATGTTTGCGGAAGTTTTTTCACTGCCTAGAGGAACTAATGGCTCCAAAGTGAGTGCCAGAGCCGCCCATGTGCAGTTTCACTTGGAAAGCGTGAGGCCGAAACGCGGCGATGAACGAAAGCGGAAAAACACGAGCCAAAGCACCATTGGCAAACAAATACAAACAGATATCAGGCCTTGAACATTGCCAAAGCATGTCTAGATCAACTTCCTGGATGCCACTATAGATCATACATCACCCCTCGTTGCAGCAGCTGGAGACCGTGGCTCGAACACCTGGGTTCGTCTCAACAATGCCCACAGAAACTGCGCGCTCTGTACCAGAAGTTCCAAGAAATGACATGTGTTTGAGAAGCGACAGGGTGTTTTGAGAACCGTTTTGGGGAGTAGCGGATCTACACGCGCTCCGAGTTGGTGATTGTGCGGTCAAAAGGTCTGGAGAAGGCCCCGGGTGATTGAGAAGCCAGACACCGTGGTCACGACTTGTTGCCAGCTCGCAGCTGCTCAAAGCTGAAGAGTGAAACCCATGTACGAAGGCACCGAGTGATCAGGACGGTCATAATGACTCACTGAGAATCCCTAGTCTTATGACCTGGATTAAACCTAACTCTAATGAATCACAAAATCATGCAAAATCAATCAAAATCAACAACACATACAAAAACATTATATACAAATAGAATGAAACAAAATATATACAAATAATACAAAATAACATACACAAAAAATAGGGCACACAGTTCACAATGAACATGAACACTAGGTTGCTGCCTGACACCAAGAAACCCCGCAAGAGAAGAAAACCCTCAACAGGAGCCCTCCTTCAAAAAAAACACAAACCTGTAGAAGCCTTATGTTGTTGGCATCAGGCATTTGCTTTTGAAGACAAGAGTTTCAATCAAGAGCAGGACGCCTGTGTCAAGCCATACTTTGTAAGATTAAACCCACGAACAGCGTATGAATGATTCTTGCTCCTGCCTTTGAACAAATAATCAAAAGCGGTCCGCAAGACCTCGTTTGCCATTTGTGCTGGGGTTCCCCGAGTGTATTTGCGCTCCTATTTTTATGTTTTTGTTTCCTATTTTTGTTCGTACGTGTTTGTATTGTTTTTGTATGGTTTCCTATGTTTTTCCGTATGTGTTTTTTCCCATTGTGTTTGTATTTTTCCCTATTTGTTTTACCTATTGTGTTCCTAATTGTTCCCTATTGTTCCAATGTTTTGTATTTCTTTTCGAGGAAAATAGGAAAATGCAAAATCAATACAACAATTGTGCAAATCCTGTTTTGCCTAGGAAAACAATACGCACAAATACAAAAACAATACACATGAAGAAAGGAAATCATAGAAGCAAACATAGGGAGAAAATGAGATACATATTCAATGAAGGCCCTGCTATGACCGCTCTCCACTTGTCGTCTTACTGAGATGACCTGACATTTCTGTCTTGTTGCTTTCCCCTGGCTGGCTAGTAATTACTGGATAGGACATATATACTCAAAATATCCCACTCTGTTCTCAATTTGACTCTTGCGTGATCTTTGCTTTGTTGCGCTGGCCTTTGTCTATGCCACATGCAGCCTCTACCTAGGTTTCAATCAGTGAGCAGTTCCCTGTTGCAGGCAGTGCCTCTTTGACAAATGTTGTGTTCCCTTTCTTCCTTTGGAAGCGCTGGTTTCTATCGCAGACTGTCCAGTCCGCTTGTGTTTTTGTCTGACCGTCCTATGTTCATTCCTCGTTTATATTGTTTGTATTGTCTCTTTGTTTTTTTTTTGCTGTATTGTTGTTGTATTGTTTCCTAATGGTATAGTAAGTTAGTAAGTTCTTAACCTTTTTAGACGTTGCTTCTTAGGCAGCTCACAACCCTAGTCTATTGATGTTTATTGGAATGCCTTGAAGGTGGTGGATATCAAATACATGCCGCTGGGATGAGATTTGCATGAGGGTCTTTTCCTCTAGGGATCCACTGCCACCTTCTCAGGTTCGGCACGACTCGACCCTCCAAGGTCACAGTGTCGAACACGTCATCCTGTGAGAATGTGGGCTCCAAGTGTGGATCCATATCGCTGGTCAGTAACAGATAGACCCACCATGAAGCACTCTTGAATTGGCTTTGGAGAGGTACTCATGGGTGAAGATGGATATAATCCAATTATTGCAAGAGTATTGTTAGTTTCGGGGTTCCAGTCATGTGTGTGGTTGAATATGTCTTTGTCCTAGTGCTGTACTGCTGCGGTCCGAGAGAATGGTGGTATACTTTCACTGAGTATTTCAAGGATTTGCAAGAGTATGTAAGAGTAGGGTCAGAGTTTTCTCCAATGAATTGGTCGACAAGTCTGAGAATTGCACCCAAAAAAACAACTTGTTTTCGTTTGCCCTACTTTCCAGTCGGGCAACTGGAGAACTCCTGCTTTGCAGCAAACCAGACAACACATGACAATGCTTCCGGACTCCAAATAGAAGCAGACTACAACGTACGGATTCCACTGCGATGAAGCATGGTAAAC